TAGCCCCTTAACAAACTCAAGATTGCAGGTCAACGACCCCCTTCATTGGTTCTCCCTAGAAAAATGAGATGCATCTTCAAGGGAGGCGCTTGGAAGTTGCCAGGAAAAGGGTCGCTTTGGCTAAATAAAGTCCGCTAATCTACGCCGTCCGATTGAATAAAGCAAGTGGGATTGCACATGTTGGCCGACAACCCCATCAGGCTGGGCCCCAGTCCCTTCAGCATGCTCCTTTTCCCTTGCTTTTTTGGCGCGTTGCCTTCCTTGTGGAGCGTCAAAGTGCGCAGCTTTCTCTCTTTCTCAGCGCGTCCACACGCGGAGCGGGTGAGTATAGGAAAAGGATCCGCAAGGATTGTTTTGTTAGGGATTCTAGAGATTCTGTTATCGGGATCGTTCATCGTATATTGTACAGTTGTAAATTATTTTAAAATATAAAATTAAATATAAATAATACCTAATAAAAACTGACAGCATAATGTATGATGAACGATCACGATCACGGAATCTCAAAAAAAAAAGATTCGGCAAGGATCATTTTCCAAAAATTTTAATCCAACTGGTTTCTTGTGTTAAATTTATCCCAAAAATTAGTTTTGACCAAAAATTGATTTTTGGTCCAAGGGTTGGAGCAAATCGAGAGAGTTTAAAAACAAAAATTTAAGTTAGTCTAACAAATACAAATGAAAGAAAGTAACATTCATATTTTATTGTGCCCTTTAATTTTTATTTAAAATGGTCTCGCATAACTACTTACTTTTAAAATTGATAAAAATGGTCCTGCCTTTGTTCTTTGTTTTTCATTTATTTATAGGTAACTTGCTCAAGTCCAAAGGCAATTAAACATGATTAGTAAAGCACCATAATAAAGCATGAGAGATATCTATTTTAATTAAATCCGTTGTGGGCTCACTGTGATTGTACATCATCATCATCATAAATAATGCATGCTTGAACCCCATTTTAGTTTCATGCCTATCATGATTAAATCATGGATGGTCAAGAAGCATAGGACTGAGAAATCAGAGCCTAGTTTCCAATACCAAAAGAGTACAAATTATTCAACTTAAACGCTAATTTCGTTAACGAAGATTAAAATAGGCGTGAAATCCATACAATTTATACGTTACCATTGATTCAAGTTCTGGTAGGTATCCATGAAAACTATCCGTTGCCGCTCTCTCAGTTCCCATATTTTCTGTATATTCCATTAAAACAATATAAATTTTTGATGCTGAAGCTAAAACAGATTACCAATAATAACAAAGAGGTCTAAATAATAGAAATCAAATTTTTTATTTTTGCGGACTTTAGAGAATCCCTGCAAACTTTAGCCTAACATTATGTGATTGCCTCACTTCTTCAGTAACTCAGAGGAGGTGAATTACTCAAAGTATGGAGGACTTCTGCTAACATATTTCAAGCACTTGTAACATTAAATGTAATGACAGGTTGACATTATTTTTTTTTTAATTTTTTTTTTTGTAAAGAATTGTTGCAAGAAGTTTGACCCTTTGTCTTTTTATTTCTGTAAGGATTTATAGGTACATATAAAATCCATATTATATATGGTTCACAGATGAGAGTACTTCAAACACCAAATATTCATTCATGATTGGAGATAAGAAAGCTTACTAAAAGGCAATCGCCTTTGTGATGTTTACTTTTGTGCTTATCCTTTGTCTTCTTTTCTGAGGCAAAATATGTCAATGTGATAAGTAATTTCCCATAAAGAATCTCATCCTCAATAGGCTAAACAACTACAATGGTTAGTCAAATAATGTACTTTCATGTAGTTAATCTCCTCGGTTTGTGTTTACTTTTTCAATATCAAAACATCTCGAAGAAACAACGTTTTCCCATACTCTACAAACACCGAATGTGCCCGATAAACCACTAACAACGCCATTACTCTAATTCGACTGCAGAGTGAGAGTTAAGATAAGAAGATACTCACAGGTCAAAACGGATGACATCACCAACACGTAAATCCAAAAGCCACAACCAAATTTAATTTTGTTTTTACTTTGATTTTTTTTTTCTTGAATCTGTTTGGATGCTGAGAACGTGTGGTATGGGATTATTAATTACCGGCAGGGAAAGATGACGATTTCTCCTATTTGGATTTGCAGGTGGAGGAATCATAGCCGAGGGATTGCAGTCCGTCGGTGACCATCTTCCTCAAATCGTCTTTTTGTTTGAGATTCTTGTTTGCTTCGACGATCCTCACCGTATCGGCCAGGAGGTTTCTCTCCGAGACGCTCACGCATGGAATCAGACTCTGATTAAACAATAATTAAGCAAACAATCAATCATCCATATGCATATTCTGTGTTTGGTTGCCAAGAAACCGCGAGAAATGCAAAAACAATTTACTAATAAAAAAGTTTAATCAAAGCAACCATTATTTATACTTTTGTACCTTAAGAATATCTGAGGCGTCGCCACCGAACAAACCGGAGGAGATTGAATCACCGAAACCTCCACCGAATATATCGAGCTCGTCGTCGGAGCTGTCATTGCTGTTGCCGTGAAAGCAATTGCAGCGGTTCCGTCCACATTTCGGCGGAGGTTGCTTCTCGTTGCTTTCTTCGATGAAATTCTGAACCATCTTCGCCAAGCAGACCGAACTTGGCTTGAACTCAGGCCGCGGCGCTGACGGTCCCTTCATCCTTGCTGATATTGAGGCCGCAGGAGTGGCGAGTTGTGATGTGGACTCAGGCCTCTTGGCCTCTGGGTTTTACGGAGAAGGGGAAGACGGTGAGGGTTGAGAGAGATGCAGAGTCTGAAAGAGAGTGAAAGAGAAAGGGTTATAAGAGAGGTTGGGTGTGACAGAGACGATTGAAGCAAAACGCACGATGATAAACGCGTGTGCTCGGTTCAGAATGGCAAGCCCGTAAATACCCAATGACAGATTTGTAAATAAAATGAAATTCACTTCAAAATACTGTTCATTTTAATAGTGCCAATTGAAAACCTTACTTTAGACTAAAGTAACTAGAAATTATGCATGCGCGTTGCTACTAGAATCAGCTGTTTCAAACGTAATTGGATGGACATAACACATTTAAGTTGAATAAATTCAAAACAATTACGAACAAACAGAAGGATACATGAGTGCATGAGACCGGTAAGATCAGTAGTTTCGTTTTTGTACACTTGTAAGTGAGTTGACATATAAACACATTGCACAATGAGTGAGAATAAACTATACGTGTTTGAAACTTCATTTTAAACTAACATTCACACAATCCTAATCATTTGTGAATTACCATATTCTTATCATTATTCCAATATCTCTTCATGTAGATGGGGTGAGCTCATACCAGTCATTAAGGGCATGTTTGATACTCTACTTGAATTCAACTTTTTAAATTAAAAAAAAAAAAATTCAAATTTTAAGCCTTAAAAACTTGTTTGGTAAGATTATTTTCAAAAATTGAACTTAAGATTAACTCAAAACTATAGTTTACTCTCTAAAAACACAAAAAGTAAATTTTTAGAATTTTTAAACTTAAACTCACTCATTTCTTTTCTCTCCCTCCTCTCACTCCAAATCTATCTCTCTTTTCTTCTTTCTATGTCCCCCTTCTTTTTTTTTTTTTACCTTTTTCGTCCCTCCTCCAATCCGCTCTCTTTATTATCTCGATTCTTTCTTTCACTTCTCTTCCTCCCTATCTCCTCCGATCCTCTCTTCTTTCTCTTTCCTTTAATCACGTCTTATTTTCTTTCCTCCTCTTTCCTCTTTCTCCCTCGACCCCCTCTTTTTGGATCTCTTTGTCCAGTTTAAGTTGTAAGATTTAAAAATTTTAAATCACATACCAAACAAGTTTTGTAGTCTTAAATAAAATTATTTTCAAGAAAAATTCCTAAGAAATGTTTTGAGAAATGATAAAAAATTTCAAATAGGATATCAAACAAGCATTAAAATTGCTAATGTATTTAGTGATTATACAGAGCAACTTAACTATAGAAACGCTCCTCAAATCACTCTATACGTTTCCATTTTGCTTTTCAAATTAGCATGTTTATGTATTGACATTAGAAACAGCGGAAAATACTTTTTACATTCACCTCTTTCAGACCCTGCGTAAAGCGGGAGCCTTGTGCACTGAGTACGACCTTTATGCATTGACATTAGAGAAAACGAGAATGCTGATGAAAATTGGATTATTAGAGGTTAAACGGCAGCGAACCATTCGGTGTTGATAATGAATACGAAGATGTGCGATTTCACGTGAATGCTGCTTGGAAGGCTATGAAGTTTCTTGCACTGCTTTAGACTCAAACTCTCAAGGTTTTCAAGAGATGAAATTGATGGGCAAAGGTCTTCAACAGATATCTCATCCAAGCGAAGCTCTCTTAATCCTTCCAGATCTCCGACATTTCCTGGAAAGCCCTTGAGCTTTGGACAACCAGAAAGATTAAGAAATTGCAGGGACTTGAGTTGAACAAAGCTGTTTGGAAGAATCTCAAGTTCTCTGCAATATTCAAGATTCAAAGTAACAAGCCCTGTAAGATTGTTAATTGATCGAGGCAGTTCTTTTATTGCAGTCCCTTGAAAATAAAGCTTTGAAAGCTTCTCCATAACTTCTGAAATCTCTGGAAACTTCCCAAGTATTGAACAAAAAGAGAGATCAAGGGTTTCAAGAGATTTCATACTAATGTTGCTTGAAAAGGTCTTGAGTTTGCCGCACCAACTTAGATCCAAGAGGACAAGTTTTTCAAGGGCAGAAATGGATGGGTGAACCTCATACAAACTTGTGCATCTACCAAGAATTAGCTTCTCAAGATTCTTTGCCTCAGTGAAGTCAGGTGTTTCCTTAAGACGATGAGAGCCTTTTAAATTGATAATTTTCAACTTTCCCAGAGGCTGTCAATATACAAGGAAAATATGTGTTACCCACATAATAAGGCAATTAAAAACTAAAGCATTTAAAAGCAGTATATAGGCAAATGATGAATGTACCTTAGTTCCTTTCCAGAGGTGTTCGACCCAACTATGTTGCATGTCAATTTCAACAAGATTCTCGGGGTTAAAATTGGACGATAAAGACTTTAGGGGACAATTGTGCCAGAACAGATAACTTAGTTTTTCAGAGAAACTTTAGATCCTTGTATTTCCATTGACCATATGGCATGTTCAGTGGTAGAATATTGTGGGTATGGACTCTGAGTAGCCTTAGTTTTGTCATTTTAAGAAAAGCGGTATCTAATTCCACCACATTGTCTGAGTGTGGCCAATGCACAATTATGCTTTCAACTGCTTCAGTAGCCTGGATTACCAAAATTGCACATTGAATGAGTACAAACTTAAGATTATAACGCCTAATGCACATGTTTCTCATGAATTGGATTTTGGTCAAAGTTGAAGCTTTATACTTTTTCTTATTAGTATTTTTTGAATTTACTAATATTAATGGGAGAAAGAAGATTCGAAGCAATTACATTAATGGAGGGGAGGGGAGGGGAGTGCATTTCTCACCGTTTTTTTAGTTAACACATGACGGACATCTTCATCGCTCCACAACCTACTGCAACTCCCAGGCTCTTCTATAGATTTCTCGCGTACGATTTCGCGACCCATTTCCTCTAGTAAATCATGCATCTCGAGTACACCATCAGATGAGATAGTGACAAGAGCTCTACCAACTAGAACGTCTAATCCGGTATGGGGATGGAAGCCACAACCCTCCATAATCCTTGTTGCAAAGTCTTTCTTCATTTGTTTAAAGAAACATGCAATATCAAGAAATATTTCCTTCTGATATCTATCTAGTCCATCAAAGCTTGTTCTAAGCATTTCCTGGATTCCCGGGTTCGGATTTCTGGCTATTTTCTTTAACTCATCTGTCCACGCACGTTCACTTTTGTTTTCGAGAAATGCTCCCAAGACTTTGAGTGCTAAAGGCAAACCTTGAGCATATTTTGTGAAATGGCCTGACAGATCAATGTATTCTTCTGTGGGTTGCTTTCTACTAAAAGCATACTGCATAAACAGCTTGAGAGCATCATTGTTGTTTAAAAACTCGGGCTCATATATCTCATCACCAAGTCTGCTTAGTGACTGTTTATCTCTAGTTGTTATAATGATTCGACTTCCGCCACCAAATGAAGGTTGCTTTCCAATTAAGGCTTCAATTTGGGATGAACTCTCCACATTATCCACAACAACAACAACAACAACAAAGCCTTTTCCCACTAAGTGGGGTCGGCTATATGAATCCTAGAACGCCATTGCGCTCGGTTTTGTGTCATGTCATCCGTTAGATCCAAGTACTCTAAGTCTTTTCTTAGAGTCTCTTCCAAAGTTTTCCTAGGTCTTCCTCTACCCCTTCGGCCCTGAACCTCTGTCCCGTAGTCACATCTTCAAACCGGAGCGTCAGTCAGCCTTCTTTGCACATGTCCAAATCACCGGAGCCGATTTTCTCTCATCTTTCCTACAATTTCGGCTACTCCTACTTTACCTCGGATATCCTCATTCCCAATCTTATCCTTTCTCGTGTGCCCACACATCCCACGAAGCATCCTCATCTCCGCTACACCCATTTTGTGTGTACGTGTTGATGCTTCACCGCCCAACATTCTGTGCCATACAACATCGCTGGCCTTATTGCCATCCTATAAAATTTTCCCTTGAGCTTCAGTGGCCTACGACGGTCACACAACACGCCGGATGCGCTCTTACACTTCATCCATCCAGCTCGTATTCTATGGTTGAGATTTCCATCTAATTCTCCGTTCTCTTGCAAGATAGATCCTAGGTAGCGAAAACGGTCGCTTTTTGTGATCTTCGCTAGATTGCTCCGGTCATTAGTGTGGATAAGTATATATAAATGGATAGAGATAGGAAAGCAAACACAAGATGTACGTGGTTCACCCAGATTGGCTACGTCCACGGAATAGAAGAGTTCTCATTAATTGTGAAGGGTTTACACAAGTACATAGGTTCAAGCTCTCCTTTAGTGAGTACAAGTGAATGATTTAGTACAAATGACATTAGGAAATATTGTGGGGGAGAATGATCTCGTAATCACGAAACTTCTAAGTATCGGAGTGTGGTGTCGTCTTGACTTGCCTTATCTGTCTCATAGGTAGATGTGGCATCTTCTCTGGAAGTACTTTTTCCTCCATCCAGGGGTGGTATCTTTAACTGGTGGAGATGCACAAGGTAATGTATCAATTTCACTTGAAGCTTACTTGTAGTTTCAGGCTTGGTCAAGCGCGATACAAACCATGTAGTAGGAGTCCCCCAAGTCGCCGAGCTAGGGGGTCTGCTGAAAGAGGTGACAGACAAGGTAAGCAATCAGAGCTCCGACTGATTGTTCACCTTCTCCCCATCTTGCAGCAGCATGAAGGATAAAGAGAAGAAAAATGAGAAGAGATGATATGAGATACTTTTGCTTTTGAAGAAGTAACTTTTCCACAGGCTTATTCTTGAACTGAGCTGGAGGGTTTTCTGGTTTCCTCCAGAGTATAAGGCCGACTGAAGAATTTGAGGGTCAAAACAAGTCCATCAAATCTAGAGTACGTTCCACCCTGCTGATATGGGATACTTTTGCTTTTGACAGAGTAATGGATGTATCGGCACGTGTGCTGTTACGCTTGTCTCCACATGCTTCCTTGTATCCTTCGCACTTGCCCTATCTGTTCCTCAAGCAGATGCGGAATCTTCCCTGGAAACATAAGATGTTGAAGATGAGTACTCGAGAGCAATGCCAGGTAAGTAATCAGGTAAGGGGTTCCAGGCAGTCAGTTCCTGGCTGGAAGCTTGATTCCAAGTGCTGACTGATTGCTCTCTTTCTCCTTGTCTTGCAGGTAAAAACAAGGCCAAAGGAAAAGACAGGGAAAAAGCATGATATGGGATACTCTTGCTTTTAACCCTGATGATATGAGATATTCTTGCTCTAGTATAGCTTGTTTGCAGAGGTATTATCGGGGGGAAAGAAAGCTGAATATTTCGAAAGGCTTCGTTGGGAGTGCCCTCTCAGATATGATGAAGGGTTGAGCATTTTTGCAGGTCTGCCTGTCCGTTGGGGATGGAGGTCGACATATATAGGAGTCTCCCTAACAACAAGTAGTAATGCTATTCCTTTACCCTGCTTGGTCATAGCACGGTAGTGGGAGCTGCCAGTTTCACATGTTTTAACTCTGTCAGAGCACTTTGAAAAAGTGGTCTGTGGTATCTGGCTCTCGAGATTCGGAGAACGATGCCTCTTCGATTTTTGAGAAAGCAATCATGCTGGGGGTCTGGCTCTCGAGATTCGGAGAGCAGTGTCTCTTCGATTTTTGAGGAAGTAATCATGTTGGGAGTCTGGCTCTCGAGATTCGGAGGGCGGTGCCTCTTCGATTTTGGAGCAAGCAATCTTGTTGGGAGTGTTGTCTCGAATGTGAGTAAAGGTTGGGCATGTTTGCTAGTCTACCTTGCCACGAAGCACAAAGGTTGACACACAGGGACTTTCCAATTATCCAGCAATGGTACTGTTCCTTTACCCTCTCTTCGATTTTGAGAAAGTAGTCATGTTGGGAGTCTGGCTCTCGAGATTCGGAGGACGGTGCCTCTTCGATTTTGGAGCAAGCAATCTTGTTGGGAGTGTTTTCTCGAATGTGAGTAAAGGTTGGGCATGTTTGCTAGTCTACCTTGCCACGAAGCACAGAGGTTGACACACAGGGACTTTCCAATTATCCAGCAGTGGTACTGTTCCTTTACCCTTGTGGGTAATAATATGGTAGCTAGACCTTCAAAATTTATGTGTCTAAACTTTGTTAGTGCTGTTTCTTTGCTATTCTTTTACCTTTCTTGGTCAGAGCGATGTAGTGGGAGCTGCAAGCTTCACGTGCTCAACTTTGGCAGAGAACTTTGGCAAAGTTATCTGTGGTACCCATGAGCTATTGTTGCGTGTGGGAAGTGGGTGATTGAACAGTAAGATTCATGTGCTTTCTACTTCACCAGAAGTCTTCGACAGAATGCCCATAATTTCTGCAAAGCTGAGTGTGCGTGTGACAGGTGCTGACAAGGCTAGAAAAGTAGGTGCCTCTTCGATTTCTGAGATCGGCCCTCGTGGTCTCTGAGCAGCCCAGCTTTTGAGAAAGCGAGCGCCTCTTCGATTGATTCGGAGAACGATGCCTCATCGATTTTTGAGAAAGCAATCATGCTGGGGGTCTGGCTCTCGAAGATTCGGGGAGCAGTGTCTCTTCGATTTTTGAGAAAGTAATCATGTTGGGAGTCTGGCTCTCGAGATTCGGAGGGCGGTGCCTCTTCGATTTTGGAGCAAGCAATCTTGTTGGGAGTGTTTTTCTCGAATGTGAGTAAAGGTTGGGCATGTTTGCTAGTCTACCTTGCCACGAAGCACAGAGGTTGACACACAGGGACTTTCCAATTATCCAGCAATGGTACTGTTCCTTTACCCTCTCTCTTCGATTTTTAAGAAAGTAGTCATGTTGGGAGTCTGGCTCTCGAGATTCGGAGGACGGTGCCTCTTCGATTTTGGAGCAAGCAATCTTATTGGGAGTGTTTTCTCGAATGTGAGTAAAGGTTGGGCATGTTTGCTAGTCTACCTTGCCACGAAGCACAGAGGTTGACACACAGGGACTTTCCAATTATCCAGCAGTGGTACTGTTCCTTTACCCTTGTGGGTAATAATATGGTAGCTAGACCTTCAAAATTTATGGGTCTAAACTTTGTTAGTGCTGTTTCTTTGCTATTCTTTTACCCTTCTTGGTCAGAGCGATGTAGTGGGAGCTGCAAGCTTCACGTGCTCAACTTTGGCAGAGAACTTTGGCAAAGTTATCTGTGGTACCCATGAGCTATTGTTGCGTGTGGGAAGTGGGTGATTGAACAGTAAGATTCATGTGTTTTCTACTTCCCCAGAAGTCTTCGACAGAATGCCCATAATTTCCGCAAAGCTGAGTGTGCGTGTGACAGGTGCTGACAAGGCTGGAAAAGTAGGTGCCTCTTCGATTTCTGAGATCGGCCCTCGTGGTCTCTGGGGAGCCCAGCTTTTGAGAAAGCGAGCGCCTCTTCGATTTCTGAGATCGGCCTTCGTGGTCTTTGAGCAGCCCAACTTTTGAGAAAGCAAACGCCTCTTCGATTTCTGAGATCAACCCTCGTGATCTCTAAGCAGCCCAGCTTTTGAGAAAGCAAACGCCTCTTCGATTTCTGAGCAGGCGCCTCTTCGATTTCTGAAGCTCCGTCGAGTGCAGATTTTTATATAGGGGCTGGCATTAAGTTCCAAAGCACACTTGAATCTCCACCAGTAGAAGCTTCATTCTTGCACTTCTAAGATCTTGATTTGTCCGACCTCTTCTCTCTTCAACACCTTTGAAAATGTCTGGCCCCTCCGACCGTCGTTTTGACTTGAACCTTGTTGAAGAGGCAGCCCCGCCTTCTCCAGACAACATATGGCGCCCATCCTTCGTCTCCCCTACTGGTCCTCTTACCGTTGGGGATTCCGTGATGAAGAATGATATGACCGCTGCGGTGGTGGCCAGGAACCTTCTCACTCCCAAAGATAACAGACTACTTTCCAAACGGTCTGATGAGTTAGCTGTTAAGGATTCGCTGGCTCTCAGTGTTCAGTGTGCAGGTTCTGTGTCTAATATGGCCCAACGCCTATTTGCTCGAACCCGCCAAGTTGAATCATTGGCGGCTGAAGTGATGAGTCTCAAACAGGAGATTAGAGGGCTCAAGCATGAGAATAAACAGTTGCACCGGCTCGCACATGACTATGCTACAAACATGAAGAGGAAGCTTGACCAGATGAAGGAAACTGATGGTCAGGTTTTACTTGATCATCAGAGATTTGTGGGTTTGTTCCAAAGGCATTTATTGCCTTCGTCTTCTGGGGCTGTACCGCGTAATGAAGCTCCAAATGATCAACCTCTGATGCCTCCTCCTTCTAGGGTTCTGTCCAGTACTGAGGCTCCAAATGATCCCCCTCCGGTGCCTTCTCTTTCTGGGGCTCTACCGACTGCTGAGACTTCTCCTAAGCAACCTTTGTGAAGGCTCCCTCTTGTGTGTTTATTTTGACTCATGTATATGTACATATTTGTAGCTTATCGGGGATATCAATAAATAAGCTTTCCTTCATTTCAACGTATTGTGTTAAATACACCAAAGCCTTCTTCGCTAAGTTCTTTGAATTTTCTTTTGTTGAAGCTTGTATGTTGAAGCTTTCTGAGTGGAGCATGTAGGTTGGGGTAGTGTTCCCTTAATTTCCCGAGTGAGGAAAACTTCTCGGTTGGAGACTTGGAAAATCCAAGTCACTGAGTGGGATCGGCTATATGAATCTTAGAACGCCATTGTGCTCGATCCTGTGTCATGTCCTTCGTTAGATCCAAGTACTCTAAGTCTTTTCTTAGAGTCTCTTCCAAAGTTTTCCTAGGTCTTCCTCTACCCCTTCGGCCCTGAACCTCTGTCCCATAGTCGCATCTTCTAATCGGAGCGTCAGTAGGCCTTCTTTGCACATGTCCAAACCACCGTAACCGATTTTCTCTCATCTTTCCTTCAATTTCGGCTACTCCTACTTTACCCCGGATATCCTCATTCCTAATCTTATCCTTTCTCGTGTGCCCACACATCCAACGAAGCATCCTCATCTCCGCTACACCCATTTTGTGTACGTGTTGATGTTTCACCGCCCAACATTCTGTGCCATACAGCATCGCCGGCCTTATTGCCGTCCTATAAAATTTTCCCTTGAGCTTCAGTGGCATACGGCGGTCACACAACACGCCGGATGCACTCTTCCACTTCATCCATCCAGCTTGTATTCTATGGTTGAGATCTCCATCTAATTCTCCGTTCTTTTGCAAGATAGATCCTAGGTAACGAAAACGGTCGCTCTTTGGCATTTCTTGATCTCCGATCCTCACCCCTAACTCGTTTTGGCCTCCATTTGCACTGAACTTGCACTCCATATATTCTGTCTTTGATCGGCTTAGGCGAAGACCTTTAGATTCCAACACTTCTCTCCAAAGGTTAAGCTTTGCATTTACCCCTTCCTGAGTTTCATCTATCAACACTATATCGTCTGCGAAAAACATACACCAAGGAATATCATCTTGAATATGGGGTATGGGCGGTATAAACTATTTTAAAATGTAAAATATAAAATATAAAATTAATAAATAATAATTAATAAAAATTGACTGTATTATGTACGATGAATAATTACGATCACGGAATCCCTAGGATCCCAAAAGAAAAATTCGGTGAGAATCCTTTTCCAGAATTTTTAATCCAACCGTTTCTTGTGTTAAATTTATCCCAAAAATTAGTTTTGACCAAAAATTGATTTTTAGTCCAAGGGTTGGAGCAAATTGAGAGAGTTAAAAAACTAAAATTTAAGCTAAAGTCCAAAGATTTGAGTTAGTCTAACAAATACAAATGAGAGAAAGTAACATTCATATTTTATTGCGGCTTTTAATTTTTATTTAAAATGGTATCTAAACTTGGTATAATTACTTACTTTTAAAATTGATAAAAATGGTCTTTGAGATTGTCTACCATCAATCATTTTGGTCATTCTGTGAAAAATCTTAATTAAATTAGAGGTATTTTTATCAATACCTTTGAATTGATGATTTCTTCAATTTAATGAAATATTTTCACAAATCATGGTGCATATTATTGGTGGTCCTAAGCTCCTTTATATGTGTAGCGTATGCTTATGTCATGATCTTTCTGCTTCTACTAAATATCAGATGATTTTGTTTTTACTATTTGTTTTACTTTGTACATGGGGTGGCTTTTAGGTTCCCCTGTTGTCTTACTTGCTATGTTATTTCCTCAACAAGGTTTGCTTTTATGTTTCCCTCATTTGTAAATTTCCTTTTTTTTTGTTTTTACTTTAATATGATAATGGGATGCTCGGTGAGCACTATTACCCCATGATTTTCACGCATGCACACAAAAAAAAAAAAATTTATCGTCACAACTAGCATATTTATCAAAATACTCGAAAAGTTAGAGTTTCTAGTCACAACTAACATTGCCATATAGTCAAAATGCTCAAAGTATAGAAAAGAAATATAAAGAAGATATCAAGTTAGATCAGTTACATAGAGAGAGTCATTCCCATGGGATTGCATGATTTCTCTATCATTGCAATGTATTTTTCATAAAACTTCCTTTTCATGATTAGGGACTACGATCCTTGGTGCTATAAATTCAGCAGTTGACTCAAGCACAGAAGTTATCTACAGTGAGAATCCTGATGGTAATTTTGTAAAGTCAAACAACTTTGCATATGCCATTGTTGTGGTTGGCGAGTACCCTATGCTGGGACTGCGGGAGACAGCCCAAACCTTACGATGGCGGAACCTGGCCCAAGTGTCATCAGCAATGTGTGTGAAAGTGTAATGTGCATTGTTACCATAATAACTGGAAAACCTATTGTAATAGAACCATACTAGAAATTACGCCCGTTGTTGCGGAAACCAACTGTTACAGGCGTAATCGAATTAATAAAACACATTTAAGTTGAATAAGAATGTCCCCATGATTAGTCTTCTCGTTTATTTTTCACAAACCAATCACATATTAAAAATCCAAGTACGAAAGCTTTGCAAAGATAAATAAAAAATTTATATAACTAATTAGACTTTGAACATGCAATCAAGGCACATACTCGTATACCTAAAAATAGCAAGGAACCGGCTTCTTCCTCCCACAACCAGAGTTCCTGAAATTTCCAAAGAAAGTAAATCCGTTAGCAATTCAGAGAAATTGGAAGACCAAATCGTATTACATTTGAGTTAAATGAGCAAAGGTAAACCAATTAAATGAGATACTAAACACATTTCGAATCTATGAAATAGAAGAATAATCATGTTAGGACTCCCAAGATGGTGTCCTAAGCACAAAATTATAGGTTAAGAAAGGTAAATCCCAATCCAAAGCTCCAACCTTTTAACTGAAAATGAAACAAAAAAGCATGGATCATATATTTCAGTTTTATTATTAGATTTTCTAAATCCCCAATTTGAATGTGTTGTAAAGACCTGCTAAAGATAATACCACCAACTAAGGGTGGCAATCTGACCAGCGTTGTGCATGTCATGTCGACTCTATGCAACTTAATATATAACATTTAAGCAGCATTAGACGGTCTCCTAAGCATCTACAAACCATTTAACATTATTTCCCCAATTTTATTTCCCAATTTTATCAAATGCTGCATAAACGATCACAATTTACTCCCTTACAATTTCCACCTAACTCCGAACAAACAATATTGATAAATCTTTATCATCACCTTTAACGAAACAGATTACAGCGAAAAGAAAAAAAAAGTTACTATGAAATCAAATTCTTCTAGATGTCCAACCTAACCCATCTATGGGAAGGCAAGCAATCGGACGTGCATTTAGACCAAGCAAAATAAATTTTACAATTTATCAAAACAGCAACTGATTCTCCCAAAGAGAACACAACATACCAACATATTATTCACCATATTCTAAGCTTTCATTTTCGTTCTATCTCTTTCGTTATCTAAACTTATAGTTATCAAAACAGCAATAAAATCATAGACAAACCTTCAATCATTTATCAAAACTGAATTAATTAAACTTCTGCTCCGCAGTCCGTTAATTTTAATTGCAACTCTCATTCTAAAAATTTAAAATTTTGCATTGAATAATCAAACGCACTTGCACGTTACATTCCTTTTATTGGTTCTTGACATAATACATTTTAGGATTGATGTAATAATATCACTACAAACATGAATTGCGATAGATATAGAAACCAAACTTGCACACAAATGTTTGACTGAATTCAGAACCACTTAATTCAACATAAAAAATTACCTCACATGCTTGCTCCCCTTCTGCTCTCGCATCGTCGGCTCCGCTACTAAACGATTAATGAAGTCCCAAAGCAAAAACAGAACAAAAAACATTTACCAATCCAACATTTCAACACATGGTTTTGGCAGGTATAACATTTCAACATAAGCATGATATAGAAAGAAAGAAATCCACATGTCACTTTGTTTTTTCAGAATCAACAAAAAGGGCAACTAGAAGAGAATGTAACCAATTTTAAAGAGTAAATCAGTCTCCCAATAAAGGAGAACAATGCTGGCGGTAGACCAAGAGTAAGTACAACCCGACTGCAGCAACAAAAACACAATTGACTTTCACACTACAGAAATAAATAATAAAAAAACACATACCTGCACCCAATGCATTGTTTTTTTTTTCCTCTGCAGTATAAGAATAAAAAAGAATAACATTCCCCTGAAACCAAATTCATCCCCCAATTTCTTGCAACAAAGAGGGAGACCAACCTTGTGTTCTTGGAGAACAGTATAACAATTAGACACAATCAGACTAATCCAAGTTCCCACTATGATAATGAAAAATTAAAATTAATAAAATAGCTCAAATCATATCACAGTATGTCACAAAGTACACCATTTGATAACCAATAAATTTAACAAAAATAGATTCAATAGTCTATATCAATTAATCAATAGTCTAAAGTATGAAAAAAATTGATTTCAAAGCCTTCCTTAGGAACTTCACAACGTATCAACAGACATTATGATATCGATGATGGTATCCATGAAACCCCAAGCTGCAAGCAAATACTGCCTTTGGAAATTTTCAATATAAATGGTTTTGCAAACCAGCCACTAATGAAACATCTAATTTCAAACAAATAATAAAAGCTTTCTTTAACTGACACATTATCCTTCTTCTTTCCTCCCATTTACTTCCCACCCTCCCTATTAATCCCTCCATTTTGAAACTCCTATATTCTTCCTATTCTGTACAAAACCTGCCAAATCATTTCCTCACTTCTCAAAACCCAAATAATCACTTAAAATGCACAAAATTACAATTAAATCAATATTACATTACACAAAATGACATTCAAAACCACAATACACTAAAACCAAGCGTGAATTCTACACCCTCAATAAGTGGAAGCATTCGTACCTCAAATGAATTTGCAACTTAATTTTTTGCTGAAAAACCTTGACCTACAAAACCAAATTACATTTAGGGTAAATTACAAAAAATTATCTCAACTATTGGTGGCACGACACTTTCATACCTCATCTTTTAAAATTGACAATGTCATACCTCATTTTACGAATTTATGCCAACGTTATACCTTCCGTTAGCTTGGCATAAATTTCTCAGTTAAATGTTGATGTGGCTTGATCTGGGGCCCATTTTCTGTTAAAAAAATTATTAAAAACTAAAAAAAATCATTTAATTTTTTTTAAATATTAAAATAATAAAGAAAAGTTATATAAAATAAAAAAATAAAAAAACCAACCAACACCCAGTTCGTCCCCTTCCCCCCCCTTTCTCTCTCCTCCCCATCTTCATCTTCTTCCCCCTTCTTGCAACTGCAACCCAGAAAAAAGAAGAGAAAAAAAAAACCAATTTGTCTTCCCCACACCCACTCTCCGCACCCATCTTCATCTTCTTCCCCCTTCCAATTGCAACCCAGAAAAAAAAAAAAAAAAAAAAAAAACCAATTTGTCAATTTTTTTTTTCTTCCTCCTTTCTGGGTTGCAGGAAGATGGGGAAGAGAGAAGGGGGAGGGACAAACTGACCTAAGGTTTTATTTTATTTTATTTTTATTTACTTTTCTTTATTATTTTAATATTTAAAAAATACTAAATAATTTTTTAATAGAAAGTGGGCCCCGATTCAAGCCACGTTAGCATTTAACTGAAAAATTCATGGTCAAGTAACGGAAGGTATAACATTGGCACAAATTCGTAAGATGAGGTATGACATTATCAATTTTAAAAGATGAGATATGAAAGTGTCGTGACACCAATAGTTGAGTTAGTTTTTTGTAATTTACCCTTACATTTATCAACAAAAAGGAATCAATGTAAGAAAGCAAACACAATACAGAAAAAATGGCCATTCAAGTCAGCTCTATTTAGATTATAATAACTCTCAATTTAAGAAAGCAAATGCAATACAGAAAGCAAATATAATCCAAATTACCTTGAACACCACCATCATATTTTTACTCCGTTACGTATACATGTCCTTTTCTTTCTAGATAAACTTTATTTCTTTGAAGTTTCTGCAGGGTGCATTCCAATTTAACCCTTTAAATGTTTGTATAAAACTTAGGGTGCGATGGCAAGTGCCTTCGCCCATAAACGGTAGATCTCGGGTTCGAGACTTGGGAGCAGCCTCTCCATAAATGGGGATAAGGCTAGCCGACATTCACCTCTCTCAGACCCTGCGTAAAGCGGGAGCCTTGTGCACTGGGTACGACCTTTATATTCTCGCCTGCTTGCAAGTCAACTAAGTCAACTATTCAACCTTCACATATTGTTTATTAGTTTTCTTGATACTAATGTATGGAAAGGGCTTAAATCCTTCAATGTATGGAAAGGGCTTAAATCCTTCAATTATGGATATACTAATGTATAATCCTTTGTTCTAGACCAATTTTGTTCTTAGTTCTTAGTTTTCTTGATACAAACTTTTTTTTTTGTATTAATATAAATTTGTTTGCACCAAGGGATGGGGTGGGAACATATCTTGAAATATGGCCACGTCCACATTTGCAGCTGAAGAACACTTCAATATAAGTTTAATTTGGTGCAACTTTAGGTTTAATTTGGGTATGTTCCACCACTTAAAATTTGCAATACTAATTTTGAACAATGAATAAGAAAATTCTACCAAGAGAGAGTAAAATAGTAAATCAACTTAATTTCTGTAAAAAAAAAAAAAAAAACTTGCAAAAATTTCATGAAATTTTGGTAAAAACGGAAAAGAAAAGGGTTAAGACAATCAAGACTAATGGAAAATTTGATATTGTTTTAACATTAACTTAGGTTGATTTTGTTCACCAGCATTAATAAAACGAATGACTTTAACTTGGGCAAGCAAACAATTAAATTAGACGTAAGCCAAGTAACTTAGAAGTTAACCATATGAAAAAAGGAAAACTAATGAAAAAAGCTTGAAAACTTTGAGTTTTAATGATAAGGACAAAATAAAGGGTAAAGTGAATAGTACCATGATTGACTTTTTAGTGTAAAAATGTGGTTTTTCGTTAAAGTGAATAGTACCGAGTGCTTTTCGTTAAAGTTCCCTATGAAAAAAAGCAATGACAATCAAACTGACCTCTTCTTTCATATGAAGTATAATCTGTTCTCTATTTTGCCTTTGTGAAGAATGCACTTTTCACTTCCTACACACAAAATAGCATACATTGAAAATGCTCCGTAGCATTATAAAAACTATAGATATACAGTACTGTATATGTATCATATACTATATTGTGTACGTAGTTGGACATAAGGTATAAAGATTTACTAACATAATTAAGCTTAAATTTAACAAAAGAAGTAATTACAAATTGAAATCAAACGATATTCTAGTTATTCAAAAAAATTCTGGCTAAATTTTACAAATAGTATTATAAATTGTTAAAAAAAATAACACAATTGAAAAAACTCACCACTCAAATCTGCAATTCTATTAAAAACACATCACTAAAAATTAACTCCAACAAAAGGGGATTAACAAATTATACCTTTTTAAGAGTTGGAATTGTTTATCTATATCTTGAGCTGGACCCGCTGGATTTGAATCCTCAGTTGACTTAGAGGGAGGATAGGCATGAAAAGAAGTGTAAGGTTCACTGGATCATATTTTTAAGAGATAGAGAGAGTTCTACTTTTCAACAGCGGAGAGAACATATTCAATCTTGGGCATAAAAAGAAAAAATAGAAGCTTCATAGCACAATAATTAACCACAATCCTCTGTTTTTCTAAATGCAAATAGAAAAAAGGAATCAAAATATTCAACACAAAATCTTCACATTAGCTCAAGAACTATATTATTTCCAGTGCTTTCCAATTTTCCAGCACGGAACAACAAACATAAAAGCATTAAAAATATATAATTGCAAAAAAAAAAAATAGCAATTCCAAGAAACTAAATGCGAAGTTAGCCAGATCTGCACAGTAACACAAACCCATTACTTGAATTAAGAGCATTGTGGCTCACCCTGAAAACACCCATTTTGCAATGAGGAAGAGAGACACTGCTGCTCTGGCTGCTGAGTGCTGCTGGCTCCAAAGCAGTTTGTCTACCAGAACTTTATAAGAGCAAGTCCAACCCTTCAAAGCCACTGTAAATCGCCAAGGATTTACATCATTCTGCTTGCCTAAAAAAAGCAAACAAAAAAGAAAAAAATGGAAAGTATAAAATTCAAATGACCCTTGATGAACATAACCCATAAATTTTCCTTGTATTCCATAAATGCAATAAAACAAAAGTCAGTGTCTCCATTTTCCAAAAAACCAAGCAAGCAAGCAACAAATTTCGAAAACCCTAATTCTAACCAATTTAGAACTATAACCAAGTAAACCACTTAATCAACAAAACTCACTAATTTTCTCAAAAACCCAACAAATTTAAAGGATATCCAGATGATAAATCCCAGTAAAATCCCAAATTTGAAAACCAGAAGAAAAAAAAAGACAAAGAGGCTTATCTTTCTTCACTAATCGGGCACTAACAGAAAAACCTTAATTCATATTATTCAGATTACAAATACACAGGGACCAAATAGCTAATAATGCTGGACAATTTGTCCCCAATCCAACACAAAAATTGTTCTTGTTATACATACGATACCCGCCTAAAATATCAACCAATTCCAAATTAAAATGGAAAATGAAACGGAGCATCATAAATTGAATACAATTTGGAGAAAATTATCTCACTTGGGGCGCCGAATCTCCAAGAGGTCCCAATCCGAGCAGGCTCCAAATTGGGTTGTTGAAAATGGTGATCAAGGAAGGGTTTTGGAGGTGGGTCTGATCAGAACAAAGCCGAAGCCATTAGGTTTGGGGGGAGAGGAACAAAGAGCCACTGAGAGAGAGAGAGAGAGAGAGAGAGAGCATGCGTTGTCCTTTTCTTCTATCCGGCCACTGGATCGCAGTTCCTTCACAAAAATTATACACGTGTGTTACTTTTTCAAGTTCTAGTTTTGTAATCACCTAATCGATCATAACACCATTCGCAAATATGACAAACATAAACAATTAAGTCAGCAACATGATATGCCATTCCTTTCATATTGCACATATAAAGAAAAAAGAAATGAACCAAAATAAAATTATACTATAATCCAATTATATGAAGGCCAAACTTGAGTTGGGGCTGGTGGCCGTTGACCACATCATCGCCTCCATTTGAGAGAAAAGGGTTTGTTTGGCTTTTTTGTCCAATTATTTACACTAACCATATATAAATGAAGAAGGACAACATCTATGTTGCTCCCTTCTTGTGATCCAAATTTGAAGAGGGCCGATGGGGAGGGGCAGTTATAAGTGTCATCCTCTTTGTTTCTCCTATCCCTGCATTATCAACCAAAAAAACATCAAACCAAGTGCAATACAATCCAATTTAATGCTCACAAAATTTGAGCTCCAAACAAGGTCACAGGTCAGCAATCGCCTAATCGATCATAACACCATTCGCAAACATAAACAATTAAGTCAGCAACTTGATATGCCATCCCTTTCATACAAACACAGATTGCAATTCATATATGCCGCATTATTTACAAACAATTACAAATCAAGAAACAATTAAATCATCATCATGAATTATAGTGTAATAACAGCATCATCAATTAGAAGAGACAGAGCTACATGGCAATAAACATATAGAGAGTAAACATACAGAGAGGAACTGCTTCATATCCTTCCCAAAAGCAATCTTCCGCAGGATAACAAAAGAGCGGTTGATCTCTGATCTAATTGCAGACGCAATCTGCAGAACCGACTTCTATGGAATTTTAACTTGTGAAATGTGGGGTGGAGATTTGAATGTAACAAATTGGTGTTAAGTGAATAATTCCAAACATATGAAATTTAGATAATCACATCCGAACGCAAACAGAAGAATTAAATAAAGAATCAAAGGCATATGCAATCTAATTAGACAAATAAGTGAACTTTCCCATGCCAAAATCCGAAAGGCCAACAGATATCTCTCATTACAGGACTTAATACATATCTTAAAAGACAAAACTTAAAATAACAAAAATTAGGTGAAACAATTGAAGAGAACATAATCCTTGTAACCAATCCGGAAAAGATGCTTTTAAATCCCAGAAAACAAATTATGAGAAGTTTTTAAAAAAACCATCATTTCAATTATTTTCCAGTCTTACATTTGGGAATAAACAGAAAATATAACTAAAATGCCAACTTTCTCAAAAAACTACAACTACTTTAACAAATTTCCATCACTCAACACTGAAAAATGAGAATCACGAAGCAACGAAGAACGGAACACGCTAGAAATAACAACAAAGCCTTTTCCCACTAAGTGAGGTCGGCTATATGAATCCTAGAACGCCATTGCGCTCGGTTTTGTGTCATGTCCTCCGTTAGATCCAAGTACTCTAAGTCTTTTCTTAGGGTCTCTTCCAAAGTTTTCCTAGGTCTTCCTCTACCCCTTCGGCCCCGAACCTGTCTCGTAGTCACATCTTCGAACCGGAGCGTCAGTAGGCATTCTTTGCGCATGTCCAAACAACCGTAACCGATTTTCTCTCATATTTCCTTCAACTTCGGCTATTCCTACTTTACCTCGGATATCCTCATTCCCAATCTTATCATTTCTCGTGTGCCCACACATCCCACGAAGCATCATTATCTCCGCTACACCCATTTTGTGTACGTGTTGATGCTTCACCGCCCAACATTCTGTGCCATACAACATCGCTGGCCTTATTACCGTCCTATAAAATTTTCCCTTGAGCTTCAGTGACCTATGACGGTCACACAACACGCCGGATGCACTCTTACACTTCATCCATCCATCTTGTATTCTATGGTTGAGATCTCCATCTAATTCTCCGTTCTCTTGCAAGATAGATCCTAGGTAGCGAAAACGGTCGCTTTTTGTGATCTTCGCTAGATTGCTCCGGTCATTAGTGTGGATAAGTATATAAATGGATAGAGATAGGAAAGCAAACACCAGATGTACGTGGTTCACCCATATTGGCTACGTCCACGGAATAGAGGATTTCTCATTAATTGTGAAGGGTTTACACAAGTACATAGGTTCAAGCTCTCCTTTAGTGAGTACAAGTGAATGATTTAGTACAAATGACATTAAGAAATATTGTGGGAGAATGATCTCGTAATCACGAAACTTCTAAGTACCGGCGTGTGGTATCGTCTTGACTTGCCTTATCTGTCTCGTAGGTAGATGTTGCATCTTCTCTGGAAGTACTCTTCCATCCAGGGGTGGTATCTTTAACTAGTGGAGATGCACAAGGTAATGTATTAATTTCACTTGAAGCTTACTTGTAGTTTCAGGCTTGGTCAAGCGCAATACAAACCATGTAGTAGGAGTCCCCCAAGTCGCCGAGCTAGGGGATCTGCTGAAAGAGGTGACAGATAAGGTAAGCAATCAGAGCTCCAAGCAATCAGTCCTAGATCAGAACTTTGATTTCGAGTTCCGGCTGATTGTTCACATTCTCCCTATCTTGCAGGCAGCATGAAGGATAAAGAGAAGAAAAATGAGAAGAGATGATATGGGATACTTTTGCTTTTGAAGAAGTAACTTTCCACAGGCTTATTCTTGAACTGGGCTGGAGGGTTTTCTAGTTTCCTCCAGAGTATAAGGCCGACTGAAGAATTTGAGGGTCAAAACAAGTCCATCAAATCTATAGTACGTTCGACCCTGCTGATATAGGATACTTTTGCTTTTGACAGAGTAGTGGATGTATCGGCACGTGTGCTGTTACGCTTGTCTCCACATGCTTCCTTGTATCCTTCTCACTTGCCTTATCTGTTCCTCAGGCAGATGCGGTATCTTCCCTGGAAGCATAAAATGTTGAAGATGAGTACTCGAGAGCAATGCCAGGTAAGTAATCAAGTAAGGGGTTCCAGGCAGTCAGTTCATGACTGGAAGCTTGATTCCAAGTGCTGATTGATTGCTCTCTTTCTCCTTGTCTTGCAGGTAAGAACAAGGCCAAAGGAAAAGACAGGGAAAAAGCATGATATGTGATACTCTTGCTTTTAACCCTGATGATATGAGATATTCTTGCTCTAGTATAGCTTGTTTGCAGAGGTATTATCAGGGGGAAAGAAAGCTGAATATTTCGAAAGGCTTCTTTGGGAGTGGCTCTCAGATATGACGAAGGGTTGAACATTTTTGCAGGTCTGCCTGTCCGTTGAGGATGGAGGTCGACATATATAGGAGTCTCCCTAACAACAAGTAGTAATGCTATTCCTTTACCCTGCTTGGTCATAGCACGGTAATGGGAGCTGCCAGCTTCACATGTTTTAACTCTGTCAGAGCACTTTGAAAAAGTGATCTGTGGTATCTGGAAAGCTGATGTTGCGTGTGAAGATTACAGACAAGCTTTATCCAAGGAGATCCAGCTCTTGAAGTTGGGAAAGTGGTGCCTCTTCGGTTTTCGAACAAGTAATCCTGTCGGAGATCTGGCTCTCGAGATTCGGAGAACGATGCCTTTTCGATTTTTGAGAAAGCAATTCTGTTAGGGGTTTGGCTCTCGAGATTCGGAGAGCGGTGTCTCTTCGATTTTTGAGAAAGTAATCATGTTGGGAGTCTGGCTCTCGAGATTCGGAGGGCGGTGCCTCTTCGATTTTGGAGCAAGCAATCTTGTTGGGAGGGTTTTCTCGAATGTGAGAAAAGGTTGGGCATGTTTGCTAGTCTACCTTGCCACGAAGCACAGAGGTTGACACATAGGGACTTTCCAATTATCCAGCAGTGGTACTGTTCCTTTACCCATGTGGGTAATAATATGGTAACTAGACCTTCAAAATTTATGTGTCTAAACTTTGTTAGTGCTGTTTCTTTGCTATTCTTTTACCCTTCTTGGTCAGAGCGATGTAGTAGGAGCTGCAAGCTTCACGTGTCTCAACTTTGTCAGAGAACTTTGGCAAAGTTATCTGTGGTACCCATGAGCTAATGTTGCGTGTGGAAAGTGGGTGATTGAACAGTAAGATTCATGTGCTTTCTACTTCACCAGAAATCTTCGACATAATGCCCATAATTTCCGCAAAGCTGAGTGTGCGTGTGACAGGTGCTGACAAGGTTGGAAAAGTAGGTGCCTCTTCGATTTCTGAGATCGGCCCTCGTGGTCTCTGAGCAGCCCAGCTTTTGAGAAAGCAAGCCTCTTCGATTTCTGAGATCGGCCTTCGTGGTATTTGAGCAGCCCAACTTTTGAGAAAGTAAACGTCTCGTGGTCTCTGAGCAGCCCAGCTTTTGAGAAAGCAAACGCCTCTTCGATTTCTGAAGCTCCGTCGAGTGCAGATTTTTATAGAGGCTGGCATTAAGTTCCAAAGCACACTTGAATCTCCACCAGTAGAAGCTCCATTCTTGCACTTCTAAGATCTTGATTTGTCCGACCTCTTCTCTCTTCAACACCTTTGAAAATGTCTGGCCCCCTCCGACCGTCGTTTTGACTTGAACCTTGTTGAAGAGGCAGCCACGCCTTCTCCAAACAACATATGGCGCCCATCCTTCGTCTCCCCTACTGGTCCTCTTACCGTTGGGGATTCCGTGATGAAGAATGATATGACCGCTGCGGTAGTGGCCAGGAACCTTCTCACTCCCAAAGATAACAGACTACTTTCCAAACGGTCTGATGAGTTGGCTGTTAAGGATTCTCTGGCTCTCAGTGTTCAGTGTGCAGGTTCTGTGTCTAACATGGCCCAACGCCTATTTGCTCGAACCCGCCAAGTTGAATCATTGGCGGCTGAAGTGATGAGTCTCAAACAGGAGATTAGAGGGCTCAAGCATGAGAATAAACAGTTGCACCGGCTCGCACATGACTATGCTACAAACATGAAGAGGAAGCTTGACCAGATGAAGGAATCTGATGGTCAGGTTTTACTTGATCATCAGAGATTTGTGGGTTTGTTCCAAAGGCATTTATTGCCTTCGTCTTCTGGGGCTGTACCGCGTAATGAAGCTCCAAATGATCAACCTCTGCTGCCTCCTCCTTCTAGGGTTCTGTCCAGTACTGAGGCTCCAAATGATCCCCCTCCAGTGCCTGCTCTTTCTGGGGCTCTACCGACTGCTGAGACTTCTCCTAAGCAACCTTTGTGAAGGCTCCCTCTTGTTTGTTTATTTTGACTCATGTATATGTACATATTTGTAACTTATCGGGGATATCAATAAATAAGCTTTCCTTCATTTCAACGTATTGTGTTAAATACACCAAAGCCTTCTTCGCTAAGTTCTTTGAATTTTCTTTTTGTTGAAGCTTGTATGTTGAAGCTTTGTGAGTGGAGCATGTAGGTTGAGGTAGTATTCCCTTAATTTCCCGAGTGAGGAAAACTTCTCGGTTGGAGACTTGGAAAATCCAAGTCACTGAGTGGGATCGGCTATATGAATCTTTGAACGCCATTGTGCTCGGTCCTGTCATGTCCTCCGTTAGATCCAAGTACTCTAAGTCTTTTCTTAGAGTCTCTTCCAAAGTTTTCCTAGGTCTTCCTCTACCCCTTCGGCCCTGAACCTCTGTCCCATAGTCGCATCTTCTAATCGGAGCGTCAGTAGGCCTTCTTTGCACATGTCCAAACCACCGTAACCGATTTTCTCTCATCTTTCCTTCAATTTCGGCTACTCCTACTTTACCCCGGATATCCTCATTCCTAATCTTATCCTTTCTTGTGTGCCCACACATCCAACGAAGCATCCTCATCTCCGCTACACCCATTTTGTGTACGTGTTGATGCTTCACCGCCCAACATTCTGTGCCATACAGCATCGCCGGCCTTATTGCCGTCCTATAAAATTTTCCCTTGAGCTTCAGTGGCATACGGCGGTCACACACAACACGCCGGATGCACTCTTCCACTTCATCCATCCAGCTTGTATTCTATGGTTGAGATCTCCATCTAATTCTCCGTTCTTTTGCAAGATAGATCCTAGGTAACGAAAACGGTCGCTCTTTGGTATTTCTTGATCTCCGATCCTCACCCCTAACTCGTTTTGGCCTCCATTTGCACTGAACTTGCACTCCATATATTCTGTCTTTGATCGGCTTAGGCGAAAGACCTTTAGATTCCAACACTTCTCTCCAAAGGTTAAGCTTTGCATTTACCCCTTCCTGAGTTTCATCTATCAACACTATATCGTCTGCGAAAAGCATACACCAAGGAATATCATCTTGAATATGTCCTGTTAACTCATCCATTACCAACGCAAAAAGGTAAGGACTTAAGGATGAGCCTTGATGTAATCCTACAGTTATGGGAAAGCTTTCGGTTTGTCCTTCATGAGTTCTTACGGCAGTCTTTGCTCCTTCATACATATCCTTTATAGCTTGGATATATGCTACTCGTACTCCTTTTCTTCTCTAAAATCCTCCAAAGAATGTCTCTTGGGACCCTATCATACGCTTTTTTCCAAATCTATAAAGACCATGTGTAAATCCTTTTTCCCATCTCTATATCTTTCCATCAATCTTCGTAAGAGATAGATTGCCTCCATGGTTGAGCGCCCTGGCATGAACCCGAATTGGTTGTCCGAAACCCGTGTCTCTTGCCTCATCTATGCTCAATGACTCTCTCCCAGAGCTTCATTGTATGACTCATTAGCTTAATACCCCTATAGTTCATGCAATTTTGTACGTCGCCCTTATTCTTGTAGATAGGCACCAAAGTGCTCGTTTCGCCACTCATTTGGCATCTTCTTCGTTTTCAAAATCCTATTGAAAAGGTCAGTGAGCCATGTTATACCTGTCTCTCCCAAAACTTTCCACACTTCGATTGGTATATCGTCTGGGCCCACTGCTTTTCTATGCTTCATCTTCTTCAAAGCTACAACCACTTCTTCCTTCCGGATTCGACGATAAAAAGAGTAGTTTCTACACTCTTCTGAGTTACTCAACTCCCCTAAAGAAGCACTCATTTCATGTCCTTCATTGAAAAGATTATGAAAATAACCTCTCCATCTGTCTTTAACCGCGTTTCTCTGTAGCAAGAACCTTTCCATCCTCATCCTTGATGCACCTCACTTGGTTTAGGTCCCTTGTCTTCTTTTCCCTTGCTCTAGCTAGTTTATAGATATCCAACTCTCCTTCTTTGGTATCTAGTCGCTTATACATATCGTCATAAGCCGCTAACTTAGCTTCTCTCACAGCTTTCTTCGCCTCTTGCTTCGCTTTTCTATACCTTTCACCATTTTCATCGGTCCTATCCTTGTATAAGGCTTTACAACATTCCTTCTTAGCCTTCACCTTTGTTTGTACCTCCTCATTCCACCACCAAGATTCCTTTTGGTGTGGGGCAAAGCCCTTGGACTCTCCTAATACCTCTTTTGCTACTTTTCGGATACAACTAGCCATGGAATCCCACATTTGGCTAGCTTCCCCCTCTCTATCCCACACACACTGGGTGATTACTTTCTCTTTGAAAATGACTTGTTTTTTCTTCTTTTAGATTCCACCATCTAGTCCTTGGGCACTTCCAAGTCTTGTTCTTTTTTCTCACTCTTTTGATATGTACATCCATCACCAACAAGCGATGTTGATTAGCCAAGCTCTCTCCTGGTATAACTTTGCAATCCTTACAAGTTATACGATCCCCTTTCCTCATTAGAAGAAAATCTATTTGTGTTTTTGACGACCCACTCTTGTAGGTGATCACATGTTCTTCTCTCTCTTCTTAAAGAAGGTGTTGGCTAAGAAGAGAGATCATATGCCATTGCAAAATCCAAGATAGCTTCCCCATCCTCGTTTCTCTCCCCAAAACCATGGCCACCATGAAAACCTCCATAGTTGCCTGTCTCCCTGCCCACGTGTCCATTTAAATCTCCTCCTATAAATAACTTCTCCGTCTGAGCAATTCCTTGCACCAAGTCTCCAAGGTCTTCCCAAAATTTCTCCTTCGAACTCGTATCCAACCCTACTTGAGGTGCGTACGCACTAATCACATTGATAAGTTCTTGTCCTATTACAATCTTGATTGCCATGATTCTATCTCCTACCCTCTTGACATCTACAACATCTTGTGTCAAGGTCTTGTCCACGATGATGCCAACACCGTTTCTCGTTCTATTTGTGCCCGAATACCAAAGTTTAAACCCTGAGTTTTCTAGATCCTTTGCCTTAAGACCAACCCACTTAGTTTCTTGTAGGCACATAATATTTATCCTTCTCCTCACCATAACTTCCACTACTTCCATAGATTTTCCCGTTAAGGTTCCTATATTCCACGTTCCTAAACGCATTTTGCTCTCTTGAACTCTACCCTTCTGTCCTAGCTTCTTCACCCTCCCCCATCTAATAGGATCAAAGTACTTCTTTTGTGTGTTCCGTGTAAAGTTGATAGGAGCATATGCTTCTAAACAACTTTGAGTGGAGTCGTTCGAAAAGAAGTTTCTATGGCCCCCTTGCTCATTTAACACTGCATCCGGGTGCCGATGGAGATACAACGACCCTTGCTCACTTATCACTGTGCTCGGGCCACACAGCGCGCCACTTACTGGTGACACCCTAGCTTTAGCGCAATTTCGTTCTGGATTCATTTTCATAAGGATTCGACGTAATCATGGAGTGCCGGCTGTCGACTACCTGACGCCCTCCCCCTCCTCCTTTATCCAGGCTTAGGACCGGCAATGTAAGATAAACTTACACAGGCGGAGTTAACGGAACACGCTAGAACTGAAACATTAAAAACAACATGTACCCATTTCAAAGACCAAAAATCCTGCAAGGACAAAAAAAAAATCCGAGAAAATCAGTACATCAGTACTCCCTGCAAAACCCCAAAATCAGAAAATTAGAAAAAGAACCCAAATCAGTGGCATGGTCCTTGTTTCTCCATTAATCAGTAGGTAATGACCTAATGAAAAAGAACCCAAAACAGACGGCTTAAATTATGGAAAGTGCTTATAAAGCTCATGAATAACTTTCAAAGCCTGCATTCCACAGTGTGCACACGCACAAACATAAAATATACATGCATAGTTAATTTTAGACAATAATACCTCAGAACATAAGTTGCAATTTGGGACTATTTGGTTGACTCAAAAGAAATTGATGGGTTAGAAAACCACAAAAAAAATACAAAGACGGATGTTTTTATGTCGTTCATTTCTTACGTCGACAAAACACACACACCTGTGTTTTAATGCTCCTCCAATACTCAATGAGAAGGCACCAGGCAAAAAGAAGGTCAAGGCTGGAAAGAAGCTTCCAAAGAGAACAATATATAAAGCAGACCACAAAAATTAGACAAAACCCAAAAACTAAACAGTAGAAAAACCTCTAAAATATATAAATATATATATAATTAAATAATTTAAAAAAAAACTAAACTGCAAATACTCTAGAAATCGTAAAATGAACTGCAAACCCGTCAATCATTTCCCAAAACCACATAACCAAAGAGTAAAAAAGGGAGTACGGGAGAGAGAAGCAGCCAAAATACAGAGAAGATGGCAAGAGAGAGAGAGAGAGAGAGAAAAATGAATTATTTTGGTGCCTCTGGTTCCTGCCTTTGTTCTTTGTTTTTCATTTATTTATAGGTAACTTGCTCAAGTCCAAAGGCAATTAAACATGATTAGTAAAGCACCATAATAAAGCATGAGAGATATCTATTTTAATTAAATCTGTTGTGGGCTCACTGTGATTGTACATCATCATCATAAATAATGCATGCTTGAACCCCATTTTAGTTTCATGCCTATCATAATTAAATCATGGATGGTCAAGAAGCATAGGACTGAGAAATCAGAGCCTAATTTCCAATATCAAAAGAGTACAAATTATTCAACTTAAACGCTAATTTCGTTAACGAAGATTAAAATAGGCGTGAAATCCATACAATTTATACGTTACCATTGATTCAAGTTCTGGTAGGTATCCATGGAAACTATCCGTTGCCACTCTCTCAGTTCCCATATTTTCTGTATGTTTCATTAAACAATATAAACTTTTGATGCTCTTCCATCTGGAGCTAAAACAGATTACCAATAATAACAAAGAGGTCTAAATAATAGAAATCAAAATTTTGATTTTTGCGGACTTTAGAGAATCTGCAAACTTTAGCCTAACATTATGTGATTGCCTCACTTCTTCAGTAACTCAGAGGAGGTGAATTACTCAAAGTATGGAGGACTTCTGCTAACATATTTCAAGCACTTGTAACATTAAATGTAATGACAGGTTGACATTATTATTATTTTTTTTTTGTAAAGAATTGTTGCAAGAAGTTTGACCCTTTGTCTTTTTATTTCTGTAAGGATTTATAGGTACATATAAAATCCATATTATATATGGTTCACAGATGAGAGTACTTCAAACACCAAATATTCATTCATGATTGGAGATAAGAAAGCTTACTAAGAGGCAATCGCCTTTGTGATGTTTACTTTTGTGCTTATCCTTTGTCTTCTTTTCTGAGGCAAAATATGTCAATGTGATAAGTAATTTCCCATAAAGAATATCATCCTCAATAGGCTAAACAACTACAATGGTTAGTCAAATAATGTACTTTCATGTAGTTAATCTCCTCGGTTTGTGTTTACTTTTTCAATATCAAAACATCTCGAAGAAACAACGTTTTCCCTTACTCTACAAACACCGAATGTGCCCGATAAACCACTAACAACGCCATTACTCTAATTCGACTGCAGAGTGAGAGTTAAGATAAGAAGATACTCACAGGCCAAAACGGATGACATCACCAACACATAAATCCAAAAGCCACAACCAAATTTAATTTTGTTTTTACGTTGAATTTTTTTTTCTTGAATCCGTTTGGATGCTGAGAACGTGTGGTATGGGATTATTAATTACCGGCAGGGAAAATGACGATTTCTCCTATTTGCATTTGCAGGTGGAGGAATCATAGCCGAGGGATTGCAGTTCGTCGGTGACCATCTTCCTCAAATCGTCTTTTTGTTTGAGATTCTTGTTTGCTTCGACGATCCTCGCCGTATCAGCCAGGAGGTTTCTCTCCGAGACGCTCACGCATGGAATCAGACTCTGATTAAACAATAATTAAGCAAACAATCAATCACCCATATTCATATTCTGTGTTTGGTTGCCAAGAAACCGCGAGAAATGCAAAAACAATTTACTAATAAAAAAGTGTAATCAAAGCAACCATTATTTATACTTTTGTACCTTAAGAATATCTGAGGCGTCGCCACCGAACGAACCGGAGGAGATTGAATCACCGAAACCTCCACCGAATATATCGAACTCGTCGTCGGAGCTGTCATTGCTGTTGCCGTGAAAGCAATTGCAGCGGTTCCGTCCACATTTCGGCGGAGGTTGCTTCTCGTTGCTTTCTTCGATGAAATTCTGAACCATCTTCGCCAAGCAGACCGAACTTGGCTTGAACTCAGGCCGCGGCGCTGACGGTCCCTTCATCCTTGCTGATATTGAGGCCGCAGGAGTGGCGAGTTGTGATGTGGACTCAGGCCTCTCGGCCTCTGGGTTTTACGGAGAAGGGGAAGATGGTGAGGGTTGAGAGAGATGCAGAGTCTGAAAGAGAGTGAAAGAGAAAGGGTTATAAGAGAGGTTGAGTGTGACAGAGACGATTGAAGCAAAACGCACGATGATAAACGCGTGTGCTCGGTTCAGAATGGCAAGCCCGTAAATACCCAATGACAGATTTGTAAATAAAATGAAATTCACTTCAAAATACTGTTCATTTTAATAGTGCCTATTGAAAACCTTACTTTAGACTAAAGTAACTAAAAATTATGTTTGCGCGTTGCTACTAGAACCAACTGTTTCAAACGTAATTGGATGGACAAAACACATTTAAGTTGAATAAATTCAAAACAATTACGAACAAACAGAAGGATACATGAGTGCATGAGGCCGGTAAGATCAGCAGTTTTGCTTTTGTACACTTGTAAGTGAGTTGACATATAAACACATTGCACAATGAGTGAGAATAAACTCTACGTGTTTGAAACTTCATTTTAAACTAACATTCACACAATCCTAATCATTTGTGAATTACCATATTCTTATCATTATTCCAATATCTCTTCATGTAGATGGGGTGAGCTCATACCAGTCACTAAGAGCATTTTTGATACTCTACTTGAATCCAACTTTTTAAATTCAAAAACAATTTTCAAGTTTTAAGCCTTAAAAACTTGTTTGGTAAGATTATTTTCAAAAATTGAACTTAAGATTAACTCAAAACTATAGTTTACTCTCTAAAAACACAAAATGTAAATTTTTAGAGTTTTTAAACTTAAACTCACTCATTTCTTTTCTCTCCCTCCTCCTCTCTCACTCCAAATCTATCTCTCTTTTCTTCTTTCTATGTCCCCCTTTTTTTTTTTTTTTTTACCTTTTTCGTCTCTCATCCAATCCGCTCTCTTCATTATCTCGATTCTTTTTCTCACTTATCTTCCTCTATATCTCCTCCGATCCTCTCTTCTTTCTCTTTCCTTCAATCATATCTTACTTTCTTTCCTCCTCTTTCCTCTTTCTCCCTCGACCCCCTCTTTTTGGATCTCTTTGTCCAGTTTAAGTTGTAAGATTTAAAAATTTTAAATTACATACCAAACAAGTTTTTTAGTCTTAAATAAAATTATTTTTCAAGAAAAATTCTTAAAAAATGTTTTGAGAAATGATAAAAAATTTCAAATAGGATACCAAACAAGCATTAAAATTGCTAATGTATTTAGTGATTATACAGAGCAACTTAACTATAGAAACGCTCCTCAAATCACTCTATACGTTTCCATTTTGCTTTTCAAATTAGCATGTTTATATATTGACATTAGAGAAAACGAGAATGCTGATGAAAATTGGATTATTAGAGGTTAAACGGCAGCGACCCCCCCCCCCTCCCCCCCCCAAATCCATTTTTGTTGGTTGACATTCTGAATATTGACGGTTTACCTTGTCCTCCTTAATTTCCTATAATCGGTAGTATAGGGGCGACATCTTGGCATTTGTTGCAGTGTCGTATCCATCTGTACCCCCCTCCACTACCTTGCTTGTCTCCTTTAGTTTATCTGTTGCTTGCCTCCCTTAACGAGCAGAAACCAAACAAGAACACCCAATTTTGACACGTGTACAACACACTCAAACATCATCAGCGTCCAAGAAGGCTAGGCGCCATATCACAGAGATCCATCTTGGCCTAGGTCCCTCTCTAGTTTCTTGCTAATCAAAATTCAAACCCAATTTTTTATTCGGAAATAAATTTCAAAATTTAGGAAATTTTATTATCTGAAAAAGAAATAATTTTCAAGGGTTACACTGTGACTGTGCTGATAAACACATGGATACCAAGCTCTGTTGTGATTGCTTCCCTTTACGTTTTTTCGCCAATCTTTGTGCACCATTTAGACATTGATAGTGATGCCAGTTTTAGCTGTATCCTCACATAAAAATTGCCAAATATACACAGATGTCAAAGATCTTGAAGTTTGGTTCACATGCTTTGTCAGGGAAGATCAATGTATGCGATTGGGTCGTCTGGAATTAGCAGTGTAAAAGGTGTTGGTATACGGTCCAGCCCATGATCAATGTTCTAGATTATTCTAGTAAGCAAGAGATGAGGCTGGAGCTTGCTAGACAATTCTAGCATGTTATTAAGTTGATGGAAGAAGCTAGAGAGTACTAGCTTCCTTGGTTGCAAATGGAAAGATCTAGAAGCTACAAGTATGTGGCTAGTCTAGATTTTTCTATACTAGAGGTTTGAAGAAGGAACTAGAAACTAGTAGAATGCCAAGCCCTCACCTATAAATATGGGTGTGATGTAACCAATTGAAAATCAAGAAAGAGTGAGTAGCAAAGGATCAAGTCCAAAGCTAGAGTTCCACTCCAAGAGTGAGAGTGAGAGTGTTCCACTACACATTGTGTGAGTGAAGTTTAGAGTGATAGAAAGTGTGTGTTATACTTTCTTGTATCCATCAAGCCTTGTCTTTGGCTTGGTAAGACTACTCTTGTTGTATTCATTTTTTTCATATAGTGAAGATTGATCCTTGTTTGGTGGACGTAGGCATAAATTGCCGAACCACATAAATTCTTGGTGTCCATTTTCTACTTTACCTTGTGCATTCTCTATCTTGTAGTACTGACATTCCTAACAAGTGGTATCAGAGCCCGGTTGGCTCGTACTACGAGATGGAAGGAAGTGGCACTATGATCAAACTCACCAACTCCAATTGGGTAACATGGAAGCCAAGGATGGAGGACATTCTCTATTGCAAGGATTTGCATGAGCCAATTGAAGGAGATGCCGCTAAGCCCGAGAGCATGTCCGATGCCGAGTGGAAGAAGATGAATCGCAAGGCTATTGGCACAATTAGACAATGGGTGGATGATAGTGTTTTTCACCATGTGTCTAATGAAACCAATGCTCGCGAGTTTTGGACGAAGCTTGAGTCCTTGTTCGAGAAGAAGACCCCAGCCAAGAAAGCCTTCTTGATCAAAGAGCTCATCAATGTGAAGTACAAGGATGGTTTAAGTGTAGCAGAACACTTGAACAATTTCCAGAATATCATCAACCAGTTGGCTACTATGAAAATGACGATCGAGGACGAGCTACAAGCGCTCTTGTTACTTGGATCCTTGCCAGACAGTTGGGAGACCTTTGTGGTGAGTATAAGTAACTCTGCTTCTAATGGTGTTCTTACTCTTGATAATGTTAAAAATAGCATGCTCAATGAAGAAACAAGGAGAAAGACTTCTGGCACAGATAGCAGCCAAGTATTTGTCACAGAGAACCGCGGAAGAAGCAAGAGTAGAGGGCCTAGAGGTCATGGCAGGAGTCCTAGCCGATCCAAGTCAAGGTTCAGGGGTGCATGCCACCATTGTGGCAAAGAAGGCCATATGAAGAAAAATTGTCGAGTTTGGAAGAGAGAGCAAAAGGAAGGAAACAATCAGAAGAAAGATGATACTGGCAATACCACTGCTGTCATATGTGGTGATGTACCAGAAATATTGTCTGTTGGTGAATGTCTGCATATGGGCAACTCTGACAGAGACATTGAATGGATCTTTGATAATGGAGCTTTCTTCCATGCTACGTCCAAACGGGAGTTCTTCAGTACATACAAAGAAGGTGACTTTGGCATAGTGAAGATGGGGAATGAAAGCTATTCCAAAATTCTTGGAATTTGGTGATATCTGCTTAAGAACTAATCTCGGCTGCCAATTGATGTTGAAAAGATGTGAGACATATTCCTGATATACGTCTCAATCTGATATCCATCGGTACCCTTGATCGACAAGGATATTATCACCATATTGGCGAAGGAAAATTGAAGCTTACTAAAGGCTTAATGGTGGTAGCAAGAGCACGACTTTGTTGTACGTTGTACCGGTCAAATGCCAAGGTTTTGAAAGGTGAGTTGAATGCTGTGGAAGACTCATCTCTAGACTTGTGGCATAAGAGGCTAGGCCACATGAGCGAGAAAGGCCTACAAGTTTTGGCAAAGAAGTCTCATATTCCCTTTGCCAAAGGTACGTCGTTAAACTCTTGTGAGCATTGTTTATTCGGAAAACAAAGAAGAGTTAGTTTTTCTGTTCCATCTACAAAGAAAGGAAACTTGTTAGATCTTGTTTATTCAGATGTGTGTGGTCCCATGGAAGTCGAGTCACTTGGAAGAAATAAAATATTTTGTTACTTATATTGATGATGCTTCACGAAGGGTGTGGGTGTATTTGTTGAAATCCAAAGACCAGGTGTTTCAGACATTCCAGGAGTTCCATGCCATGGTGGAGAGGGAAACTGGGAAACCTCTCAAGTGCCTTCGTAGCGACAACGGCGGCGAATACACATCTCACCAGTTTAGAGAGTATTGTGTAAAACATGGCATACGTCATGAGAAGACAGTTCCTGGAACTCCACAACATAACGGTGTTGCTGAAAGAATGAACCGAACCATCATGGAGAAAGTCAGGTGTATGTTGAGGACTGCAAAGTTATCTAAGCAGTTCTGGGGTGAAGCTGTAAGGACAGCCTGCTATTTGATCAACCGATCTCCATCAGTACCATTAGGTCTTGATGTTCCAGAGAGAGTATGGACTGGTAATGATGTGTCTTACTCTCATCTGAAGGTGTTTGGTTGCAAAGCTTTTGTGCATGTGCCCAAAGAGCAGAGATCGAAGTTAGACTACAAAGCTACACCGTGCATCTTTCTTGGTTATGGCGGTGAAGATTTTGGTTACAGATTATGGGACCCATACCAGAAGAAGTTTATCCGAAGTAGAGACGTGGTCTTTTATGAAGATCAAACAATTGGGGATTCGGATAAAGAGGCACAACCAGATGGCGCAGTCAGAGGAGTTGATCCATTAGTTTCAGATGAAGAAAGTCACGATGACATCCCTGAAGCAACTGCCAATGAAGTGCCTGCAGAATCAGATAATGCTGATCAAGAGGAGCCTGATCAAGATGTGCCAGACCATGAGATTGCTGATCAGGGGGAGCCTAGTCAAGAAGAGCAGATTCAAGGAGAATCCAATCAGGGGGAGCCTCTAGCCCCGCAAGAGAATGAAGATCAGGTCAGAAGATCCAGCAGAAGTCGAAGACCGTCTACCAAGTATTCTTCATCAGAGTATATCATGTTGACTAATTATGG